GGCTGGTGAGGCTTAGCGGATTAACCACCGGCCTAAGAACCAGAAGGTCGCTGGTTCAATTCCCAGTCAGAGCACAGGCCTGGGTTGCAGGCCAGGTCCCCAGCTGGAGATGTGTGAGAGGCAACCAACTGATGTTTCTCTCTCATATCAATGTTTCTCTCCCTCTCTTTCTCCCTCCCTTCCCCTCTCTCTTAAAAGAAAGCAGAAATGGAGGGAGGGAGGGAGGGAGGGAGGAGAGGGGAGAGGGGAGGAGAGGGGAGAGGGGAGGGGAGAGAAAAGCTGCACACCTATTAGAGTGGCCAAAATACAAAACATTAACAACAAGTGCTAGTGAAGATGTAGAGCAACAGAAACTCTTGTTTTTGGTAGGAATGCAAAATGGTACAGTCACTTCAGAAGACAGTTCTGCAGTTTCTTACAGAACTGATGCACTCGTACAACACAATCCAGCAATCCTGCTCCTAGGTATTTATCCAAAGGAGTTGAAAACATGTCTACAAAACTTATGTCCACATCAAAACCTGCACACAGATGTTTATAGCAGCTTTATTCATATTTGCCAAAACCTGGAAGCAAACAAGATGATCTTCAGTTAATGAACAGATAAGCAAACTGTGGTAGATCCAGATGGTAGAATACTATTCAGCACTAACAAGAGAATGAAGTATAAAAAGACATGAAAGAACTTCAAATGTACACTATTACTAAGTCAAAGAAGCCAATGTGAAAAAGGCTATATATACTCTATGATTCACACTCTATGACATTCTGGAAAAGGCAACATTATACAGACAGCGAAAAGGTCAGTGGCTACCAAGGGTTAGGGGAGGGCAGGGTCGCAGAGGCAGACCACAAAGGGTTCGCTGTGGACCATGGTGATGGATGCGTATCGTATTACATTCGTCAAACTTGCAGGAGAGCATTTGAGGACTTGCTCCCCAGAATATGCCATTAGTTTGGCTCAAATAAAGTATTATAAAATTTTTTTTAAAAAGCCCTGGATGGGGATGAGCACTGGCCTGCAAACCGAAAGGTCACTGGCTCGATTCCCAGGTCGGGACACAGGCCTGGGTTGCAGGCCAGGTTCCCAGTTGGGGGTGTGCGAGAGGGAATCAATTGATGTTTCTCTCACACATCAATGTCTCTCTCCTTCTTCTCCCCCCCTTCCCTTCTCTCTGAAAAGATAATAAAATCTTTAAAAATAAATAAGTAAAAATATTATGTATAAAAACATAAGAAAAAGAATCTATTGTAAATAGTGACTATAAGAGGGCATTAATCGTCTACATTACATATTCTGTACTGTTTGAAATTACAACAGCATTTACTTTTATAAGCACAAAACAACTTTAACCCTAAGAGGCAGAACTCTAAACAGCTGCTTGAGAAGAAACAAACAAGCACAGGAAAGGCTAAAGACCTAGAAATATCCTTATAAATCAGAGATATTATTTCAAAATCTACACATGCTCCAAATCTACTTCTATGTAGAGTCAGAACCAAACCAACATTAGACAACCAACATGTTCACATTCTTTCAAAATAAGGAAGGTAAGTAGAACAGACTTCTTTTTTGCCTATACACTGGGGAAGTGGCCGATGTCGAACAACGAATTATGTGCGCTTGTTTACATTAACACTATAATTCCATTTTCAGGTTTATGATCAGACTCAAGGAGTGTGATTCCCAAAGCGCCACAAACCGGTACCTACTGAGAGGAACCGCACTCACACTTACGCAGGTAAACAAGTTCCCATCAGTCCACAATGCCATCCCTAGGGATATAACCTAAGCAAATACTGAAAACACAATGAAACAACAACAACAAAAACAAAAAACAAAAAAATGGACAAAAACTCTACGGTGCAGTTTATCACTATAGTCTTCTTTTACAAAAGCCAACAAATGAGAAGCAATCTAAAATTTCAATAGAGGAATGGTTAAATACACTGCTATACTCATATGATAGACTATTACATCGTTATTATAATGTGTACATGAGGTTTTATCAACATGGGAAATGCTTAGGTCAATGTTCAGGAAGACAACACACAGACATATAAAACAGGTCCTCAAATAATATTATTTTGTTACAACGTTGATGGATGTGGGAGAGTGGGCGGGGCAGCAAATAATTCCCATGAGTTGGGGACCGAGTTGGGGCTCCTGCCCACGGATCGTGCGCCGTGCCGTGCGCCGCGGCCCCACGCCTGGGCGGGCTCTCTCCGGAGCTCCGCTTCCTCCCACATCCCAGAGCCCCAGGCCGGCGGTGAGTGGCGTGTCTACACTGCCCGGTGTGTGCGAGGGTGAGTGGCCCCGTGACTGGCGGCCGGGGGGCGGGGGTCCTGTCCAGGGTGATCCCGCCCTGCACCCTGAGCAGGAATCAGCGGGTTAAAAAAATCATTATCTTGTTTTTATTCATCTTTCTCAGAGGTCTGTATAGCTCACATTTATTTCAATGTTTAATATCAGAAATGTTTTGGGTCTTCACTGAAAAGTTTGGTGATATTTTTGATACTGAAAACTGGCTGCAGGAACTTAACTCTTGCTCACATCAATTAGCCTCGGGTAACACTGGTTTCGTTAAATTATGCTGTTTCACTTAAAGTCGCAGTTTCCATGAATCTATCGTCGATGGCAAGTGAGGACTCACTGTACACATATCCATGTACAGAAACACCATCATCTTACTTACACAAATATGCACAAAAAGGGGGGGGTTGGGAAAACATCCCAAAATATTTAACAGTTACCTCTGGAAAATGGAATAATGTGTGCACTGTTTCTTTATACTTTTCTCTGTCTTTTGAACTTTTGACAATATATAAAAATAATACTTGTAGATTGTTTTTTAAAGTTTTAACCATTACATGCAGGATTTTCATTAAAACTGCAAATTTAGGCAATACCATTGTTTAAAAATCTATTAACTTGTCATATTCTGCTCTCTTCTTCTAGGGTTAGCAAAAATAAGACAATACTAAAATTAAATTTTGACTCCAAAGATGCCAACAGGTAATCCAGCAGCAGGAGGCACTGATATAGTCTTGAACTGTAATAACAGGATCATGGCTCAAATGTAGAGGAAACTGACACTCGGTGAGCTCAGCCCTTGAGAGCTGCGTTCCGAACGCCACCCAGGGGAAGGGTCAGCCAGCCTGCACTGGCTCCATCACTCCCTGACTGCTGGTTTCACAGCCCTCTTTGACTAGTGGAATGCCACCTGCAAAATAGGGACAAAACCTCCTCTTGGGTTATTGTGAAGACTAAATAATACAGGAGTGCAGAAAGCATTTTAGTACAATGCTTGGCATAAAGGCTCAACAAATGCTCACTATTCTTAGTATTTCCATTCTGGCCACCATCGCTTGAAATGGGTATTGCAACCCACGGCAACATAACCAGGGGAGCAACCGAGACCAAGAGAGACCCCACATCAAACCAGCGAATAACCCTCAGGCAGGCTTGGCTTGGCCGGGGGCAGCACGGGAGGTGGGACGAGATCATCTCAAAGGCACAGACGGGCAGGCCTAGTTAGCAGAGTTCAGGGAAGAAAGCGTTCCAGGCAGGCAGATTTTCAGCTCTCTGTCAGAAAGAACACGTTTCAAATGGAATAGGTTGCTTCTGTGGCTCACTGCGCATGCTCAGAGAAGGAGAGGGAGTCTTTTAAAGGTCCTCCCCAGCACAGCGAAGGCATCAGAAATGCCAACACACTTCCTTCTGCTGTTCTGTTTCCCATTACGAACTCATCAAGCACCAGTCTGATGGAGGCAAAATCCAGGCACCCCTAAAATCCGATTGTGCTGAGGTTATTATTGCTGAATTTAGCATTGTAAGAGTAGCTGAATTTCCCATGTTCCATGGAGGGTGCTGTACCAAAAAAGGATCCTTCTTGGACAAAATTAAACGTGTTTCTTTACCATATGAGCTCTTTGCATCTTAAAATGCTAACACAGTGCTGAGTATACAAGTGGAGGGTATTTAATACACTTCGTCTTCCTGCTCACTTGGCATAATCTGTTAACACCTATTTTAATACTGCAAAACATTATGTGGGAAATCCTGATCAAAGCCTACAAGTTCCAGCCTCTACTCACAATTCAGTGGTTTTCTGAACAGTTACGACTGGTCACTTTTTAAAATAAAGCCCTGTCACGTTTTTTAGAGCATTGATCTCGTTAACTTTTGGAGCGGGGGAAGGGGAGGATCAAAGACCCATCTGAAAACCCAATGTCCTGTCTCCAGAAAAATGTACATATACCAAAAAACTCTGCATGTGAATTTCCAAGTTCACAAATCCTCATCAATTCCATCCACAGAGCCCCGCTAAAAAATTCTCAAAAGGGGATTTTGTTTTTCTTCTAAGTTATGAAGAAAATAAAAACTGAAAATGGCAAAAACTACGGTAATAAATACAAAATTATTTGAGCATAAGGGGCAAAAAGGTGAAAAAGCAAACTCTAAAAATACAACTAATATTACTAACAGCTTTAGGACTGCCCCCTACCCGCCAACACACATAAATCCAAGCTAGCTCAGAATATTCATCCTAGCAGGATTTTAAATACATGAAACAAAAAGCCAAAAAGTTTTGCTTCTGGCTAGGCTAAAGTCTTGTATTATAATGCACATTCCAGTAACACCCATTTGACTTCTGTACTCTGTCAAATTACAAATCTGTTCAACTTGCCATCTTTACAAATCTCTAAATTCCCAGCTGCATTATATATAATCTTCCTTCCACTCTATGCCTTTCCTCCTAGTTACTTCAGTATTCGCTTGGACGGCATTTTGAAAAAAGCAGATTGTGAAACCGCAGGTTAGAAATCTTTCAAACATGACAGGCCAAAGTAAAGAAATACACACTTTCAAACTCTTACAATTATTTGTATGAAAAATGTAAGAGAACTGTAATATATGTAGGGACTTTAGCTACAAAGTTTATTTAGAACTGTGCATTAAGTAAGAAATTGAAAAATAAAGGTGCTCTAAAACTTACGTTTTGCTTCTGATAGATTCTGATTAGGTGACCAGACCAGCATGCCAAGATTGTCTCGTTCTTGACTGCGTCTTGCTAATTTGGCTTGGTAGAAATAAAAAAGAAAATTCTCATTAGAACGTAGCAGACATATGAGGCAATGATTAACACCACCACTCTGGTCTTTTAGCATCAGAACATAATGCCGTCGCCCACCCTTCACTGAAATCTGCCCCAGTGCTGTCCACCTGCCCCTCTGGGTGACGGTGGGGGTGGAGGAGGCTCCGAGGTCTGCTGAAACATTTCTACTTCGAAGTCTTCTACTTTACCATCACTTACGTAACATACGGGTACGTATGTGGCAGGTACAGTTACTATTCTCATACTGTTACACTGTTAGGTCATTCAGCCTGAAGGAGGCAGTCAGGACTGGACTCAGAATGGCCAGCGCCCTAGGGTGTAAGCGCTACACACCATGACACTCTGCTTTCGGGCATGGGACATCTAAAAGGGAAGCTGCATGTGGCAAGCTGCTTGAAGATTCTTCCAAAATATGAACCTTCATGTGTGCTTAAAATACCTTTACCCTTCTCTGACAGAGCAACTTTTTGGTGACTTGACAGCAGGAATCCAAAGATTTTTTTCAACAACTTTGTTAAAGAATAACCATTACAAAGATTTAATTTGAAAGGAAACTTCTGTAATACATTCGATTTCTTAAAAATCTGTGATACAAAACGGTAGGCCATCAGGTTTACAAGTGCCATAAGAAAGAAGGAAATCTTGCCATTTGCGACAGCATGGATGGACCTAGAGGGTGTTATGTTAAATGAGCAAGACAAATACCATAGGATTTTGTTTATATGTGGAATGTTAAAAAAACAAATGAAACAAAAACAAACTCAGATACAGAGGCCATTTTGCGGACCACAACATGGAAGGGGCTTTGGGGGCCTGGGGGTAAAGGGGAGGGCTTAAGAAGCCCAACTGCCAGTTGTAAAAAGAGCCACAGGGATGTGAAGTCCAGGCGGGGAACACCGTCAACAGCACTGAGGTAGCCATGGTGTCACCTCAGCAGACCTGCCGGGCTGACCACCCGGCGGGCCCCATCAATACCTGACCAGGGCGCAGCACACCTGAAACTGACACACTGCTGCAGAGAAACTGTGACTGAAAAAATAAAAAATGCATTGAAAAACTTTGGATTGCAAATTAAAGCCACACTGAGATATCACAACATACTTATATAAAAGTATAAAATTAAAAAGACTGACAATGCCAAGGTTCGGCAATAACGAGGAGGAACTGGAACTCTCAGGCACTGCTGGTGGGAATGCAAAACAGCACTATCGCTTCAGGGGGAAACTCTGGCAACTTCCTAAAATGTGGTATATAGCCATTCAATGGAGTGAAACTCAGCAATAAAACGGAAGGAACTATTTAAGCATATAACACGAACGAATCTCAGAACAGCCATCCTGAGGGAAAGAGTTGCAAATGCAGACAGGGAGAGGCTAGAGAGAACCCTCTGGTGCTGGAGAGAAGCTGCTGGTAACACTATGATACACGGTTTTCCACAGGAATAGAAACACAGATGTGCGCACATGCATCGGTGCCGCACCTACGCGCACTCGTTTCCCAGCTCTGCCCGCTGAGAGGCTTTGATGCGGTGACAATCCATCAATGCCTGCACACATCTAGCCCCCAGGTCTGGGTTTCTACGTGCCATTCACCAGTACAAGAAGCTAAGTGTCCTTGGAGAAACGGCTCGCTCAGGGCTAGGAGAGGAATGTGTAAGAGGACCCGAAGTATCTTCTTACGCCAGAAGGTAAGAAAGTGTTCAAAGAATTACAGGATCTTTCTCCTATTGACCAGACCTGGGACAATTTGTGCAAGAAAATAAATGACAGTAATAAAATAAAAATCTGAGTCCACACCGATATAAGTAGACAGAAAGATAGATAAAGGGGGGGAATCAAATGGGGCCAGAATAGCCAGGTCAAAACTGGGAGACTCACACCACTCTATTTTAAGGCTTTCTATATATAAAGGCACAGTATTCAAAACCCTGTGGTATTGGCAAAAGGAGAGACACCTAGATCCATGGCACATAGAGGTGCAGATACAGACCGGTGTATATAAACGGTCAACTGACTTGTAACAAATGCACAAAATTAGTTCAATGGAGAGAAAATACTCTTCTCAACGAAGGGTATTTTAACAATTACATCTCCACATGCAAAGACAGTGAACCTCGATCTATATCTCACACCTTATAAAATTAAAACTGAATCTCAGATATAAAAGTAAAATGTTTCTACAAGTATAAAACTTTTAAGAAAAAAACATGAAAAATATCTTTGTGAACTTGAGTTTAGGAAAAGATTTTTTCAACAGGACACTAACAGTATAATCTATAAAAGTTAAAAAATTTGTGAATTGAATTTAATCAAAACTTTAAACCTTTGCTATGCAAAAGACACCGTTAAGAGAAACTACAGACCGAGAAAATATTTCTAAGTCACATATCTGACAATCAACTTGTTTCCAAGAACTTGTTTCAAAGAAAGAGAACTTTGAAACCTTAGTAATAATTTAAAAAAAAAAAACAAACAAGCAAAGATTTAAACAACCACTTCACTAAAGAAGCTCCAGAGATGGCATAAAAGCACGTGAGAAGACCCCCAACACCATCAGCCGGCAGGGAAATGCCAACTAAAGTCATGAGAGACCAATACACAGTGCACCTTAGAACATCTAAAATAAATGAAAAAAAGAAAAGAAATGGATAATACCAAGTACTGACAAATACTAAGAGCAACTAAAACTCTCAGAGAGTGCTGGTATAAATACAAACGATGAAACCACTAAGGAAAAGTTTTGCAGTATTCACAGCCACCAAAAACTGGGGGGAAGAAACAAATGTGGTCTATAGTCAGAGGAAACGAAGTAAAGTACCTGGATGATACGGGTGGACCACATCCAATCACCTGAAGGCCTCAAGGGTAAAGCTTGCCGTTGCCCAGGAGAAGCTGCAAAGCCCCAACTCCCCCTGCAGAACCACCCTGCGGACTTCGCACTTGCTGGGCGCCTGCTGAAGCGCAAACCAACTCCTTTTAAATATCTAAATAAACACACATACACCTCCGTTGGTTCTTTTCTCCGGAAAACACTGCCTGATGTGGACGGCTACCACGGCACTGTTTACCAGGACTAAAATACAGGAAAACCTCAAAAGTCCATCAAGAGAAACTGCTAACCCACAGCATGTGCATTCAAAGGAACTAAACACAAAAAATAAAATGAATTAGATCTACAGATAGCAACAATTTTTAGTACAAAAAGAAAGTTAAAGGAAATGTATGATACCATACTGTAAATAATAAAAATATAAAAAGGAAACTACATGTTATTAAGGGTATATATTTAAAGTATAAAACATGCACAATAAAGAATAAAGAGCCCTGGCTGGTGTGGCTCTGCTGGTTGGAGCATTGCCCCATAAACTGAATGGTGGCAGGTTCAATTCCCAGTCAGGGTACATACCCAGGTTGCAGGTTCAATCTCTGGTAGGGGTGCATGCGAGAAGTCAATCAACTGATGTTTCTCTCTCACACTGATGTTTCTTTCTTTCTCCCTCTCTCTCTCTCCAGGCAATAAAAAAAAAAAGTCCTCAGGTGAGGATTAAAAATTTTTTTTTTAAGAATAAAGATCATCAACTGATGAATGACTTTATAGCATATATGGCACAGCCATATGGTGGAATATTATACTGCCGTAAAAAGAAACGCCGTACTAATCCATGCTCGTTATGGATAAGAACTGAAAACATTATGCTAAGTGAAAGCAGCTAGAGACAGACAGACAGACAGACACACACACACACACACACACACACACACACACACACACACACACACACCCTCCCTCCCCCCCCCCCCCGTTCCTTTTATATGAAATATCCAGAAGAGGCAACTTGGTTCGCACAGACTGCCTGAGGGTGTGTGGTGTTTTGGAGAAGTGGGCAGTGACAGCTAATATGTACAGGGCTTCTTTTCTCTTTTTTAAATTCTCACCCGAGGATACTTGTATTGATTTGAGAGAGAGAGAAAAACACTGACCTGAGAAACATCCATTGGTTGCTTCCCGCACTCACCCGAAACCAGGGGTCAAACCAGAACCCAGGTCATGTGCCCAGACTGGGGACCAAACCTGCCCCCTTCTGGTGTACGGGATGACATGCCCGCCGACCGGGCCCCGGCCAGGACAGGCACAGGGTCCCTTATGGGACAACAAGGACAGTCTACGATCGCCTGCGGTGACGGCTGCGGTGGCAGTGGTGGGGGCGGCGCTTCGCCTCTGTGGTCTCCCTCCACAAACCCTTGTCCCAACTGAGGGACGTTGCCACAGAAAGCCAGACCAGTGCTCCTCACAACTGCCGAGGTCGCCACAAACAAGCCAAGTGTTAAGACACTGTCAGAGCCGAGAGTTGCCAGATGAGATGTGGCAACTAAATGTAATGTGTATCTTGGATAGGACCCTGGAACAAAAAAAGGACATTAAGTAAAAATTAAGGAAGCTGGAATGAATGAGGGCTTCAGTGGCAACACTGAGTCAGCACTGGTTCGCCAGCCGCAGCAAACGCACCGCACTCATGTGAACCGTTAGTGGCAGGGAAACGGTGTGGGGGACACGGGATTCTCTGCGCTGTCTTTGGAACTTCTAAGTCTAAAACGACCCTAAAGAAAAAGGTCTGCTTTGAAAAAAAGAGCCCTCCACAGCTTCCCCATTGTCTTCGGCATAAAACCCACGGCATCCCAAGGCCCACACAACCGTCAAACCCTGCTGGACACTTAGAGCCCGTGCGCTTTATGTCAATCACTTCTTTTTAAAAGACCTGTAGAGTGAAGGTTGATATAAATTTTAAAAGCCTGAGAGAAAAATATCAACCTCCAAATAAATAACAAACTGACAGTACAATTCCTAATAGCAACAAAAGCCGAAGATAGTGAAATACTATTTTTTCTCTTTTTTTAATCCTCACCCAAGGATATGTTCATTGCTTAGAGAGAGGAAGACAGAGAGAGAGAGATGAATGGGGGTGG